CCGGGCCCCTCATGGGGCTCGGCAGTGGAGCTGCAAGGCCGGCAGCAGCGGCCGGGACCGTTGGCGGCGGGGGGTGTGGCCTTATGACACACTTCCGGTGATGTCAGGGGGTGTGGCATATGCTAATGAGTTATGCTAATGAGTTCCCCTAGCTCTTTTTCTACGAAACGACCCCTGAATTGGCCACAACTTTATTGACTACGGCTATAAGAAGCATTGGCACAGCATGGGCCCTACCGGATCCTCTGCATCAGCTGGCCCCTTTGCCAGCCGATGTATCTGTCACCCAGCCAGCCGGCTTGGGTGGTGACCTGTGGAATGGAAGGTTACTGGAGTCCACACGGACGACTGCCCCTTCATGTTCTCCCCTGCCATCTGGTCATGAGGGCACCTGCTGTTAGTCCTTGGGCAAGCATGCTCATGGTCGTCCCTCACGCCAAGACCCCACGAGGGATCCCCATATCCAGAAAATTGGCGCACAGGCCAAATTCTGAAAATGGATCCAGTCCCCATGACGAGAAATATATCATAAGAAATACATCAGAAGGAAAAATTACAACCCCTTTCACTCAACTGCAGAATGCTCTCTGGCTGTGCAACGCACCCCCCACCCCACCTTCCATCCCCTCACCCACCAGGCATATCAAGTATGTACCCGTACACTTAGGGTGGGGTAGGTGGGCGAATCACTCTGTGGCCAGACAAAGTCTGGAGGCGGGTGGCCAGTTTGTTCCCCTTGCCTTGGCCCTCCTCCCTGGCTGCCCTGGTGCCCTGCCATTGGCCCCCAGGTGAGGGGAGGAGTCCTACTTTCCCGCCATCGCCCCCCCGCCTCCCCAGCCTCCAGCTAGCTCTCCCCCGCCCCCCGACCAAGCAAAATGTGGGCTGTGTTTGAGTCAGGCCCTTTCTGCTTGTGGGGAGACAAAGGGAAGGAGATTGTAAGCCGCTCTGTGACTGAGTGAAGGGTAGGGTATAAATCCAATCTCGTCTTCTTCTTTCTGACTAAACCAGATGCAGCTTTAATGGTCCTGTGTTCCTGCGCTGTACTTGTAACAGGCAAAGTCATTACGCACCAGCATCAGCAATTCCCTTGACTAAGGGTTAGTCGGGGTCATTTTGCTTCTCAGATCCAACAAGTTGCTTTTTGATTGCTATCTTGTATGGAGAAACTGAAGCCGAAGCAGCAGCAGAGGGTTTCTTCTCCTTTCTTTCTACGTAACGCCAACTAAGGGCAAAACATCTATGCCGCTGCAAACCCAAGATATCATTTGGCTCCTTCAGGGATCTAATTCCTTTATTTGGGAACATTTAAGTTCCTGAAATGTGTTGCTCGTGTGGCTTTTCCTAAAGAGGGGGAAAGCTAATAATCCCGCTCTTTTCCGAGAACACACATACAAAGATGTATAAATTGCGTGAAGTACAAAACTCATAGAGTGAATAAACCATGGCATTAGCCCAGGCTCCAGGCAGAAAGCCAAATTTGTCTGCTGTCAAAAACAAGAGAAATGCATAACACCTCAAAACCTAACTGATTTACTTTGGCATACAACTGTCATGGTCTCTGTTTGACAGATGTGCCAGAAAGGAGTATGTCATGAGTATATCTTGCATGGCATATTGTTTAGGGGGATCATATGACCTTTAGCAGAGATGGCTTCCATGGAGAATATCCCCGTTCTGTTAACTACTCCAATTCGTGGACTATAGGAGGTAACAGGAAGTCATGATATGTTGAAACAGTGGTTTCTGTAACTCGTCTTGGAGGAAGATAGAAATATTCACCCCACTTGGATCTGCAGTTGGGAGTTCGATAATAGGGATAAGGCTAGCATGGAGGCAAGCAAATTAGAGCACCCCAATGTCCTCCAAATGCGTGGGGTTCCATAGTTGGAACCAAAGGTGGTCGTGACTCATGGGACCATTCCTTAGATCAGTGGTGTCAAACTCATTTGTTATGAGCCTTTTGTCTGACACCCCTGCCTTAGATGATGTAAGTGGTAACATAGGAATTTGTGGCACCCTCTAATACCTGAGGATCTACATCCATAGTTTCAAAGTTTGGAGATGGAGTCCATGTTAGAGCCAACCGCTCCTCTTTTTTGGTTAGAACCAACATCTTTGCTTGCAGATGAAACCAAGACTGAGGAAGAATTCTCTTTGTGTTCTGACTTTGCCTTTTTTAGGAGGAGCTCTGATGAGCTCCTTAGGACCATAGATGGAACTGGGGATTGGGACTGATGGCATAGTGAGTCTGACCTCAGAACTCTGAGGTATGCTTTAGAACAGCCGATTTCTTAGCTCTGGGGCATTGGATATAGATATAGTGTTTTCCCACAAGGCAGCTTTAAGCCTTAAGGCTCTGTCATTTCTGACCTTTGAGGTAAATTGTTGACATGTGCGACAAGTAGCCACACTGTGTGCCTCACCAAGGCAGAGACCACATTTTGATCGTTTTAGTTCGACACTCTTCACAGAAGCGCCTTTTGCGCCATGGCATTCAAATAAATGTAGACAAAGAGATAAGCTGAAGAAATAGAAAAAGACAATAGAATGAAGATGATCTCTTCATGGCGGCAAAAGGACAACTGAGGAACTCCTCCTAAGTGTCACATGACAGTTTGGGCGGGAAATTCTGTCACATGCGTACGGGGAGAAGGCACCTCCTTGGAGCTCCCAAAAGCACTCCAAATCTAGAGAAAATTATCTTTTGTGGTTGGTCAGCGCTTGTGCAGAAGACCAAAGGTGAACTATAGGCTACGCTGAACCATTTTTGGATTACCTAGAGGTGGTGCAAACGTGTTGTGATTTCTAGACAAGGAAAACTTTCGTTTTACACAGAACCATCCAAATTACCATTCCATTGCATTACGGGCAAAATTCATCAGCCAGCATGTGAAGACAGAAGAAAACCACTGACTTGGAAGGGGGGGGATCCACTTTCTCAGACACCTGTGAGACTAGCCACACCTTCTCTTTGCAGCAGGTATAAATCTGCTTCAAGCCCATACTGGCTTGAGTCAGTCTCTTTCTTTCAGCCTAACCTACCTCGCAGAGTTGTTGTTGTGAGGATACAATGGAGGAGGGGAAAGGGAATCACAGAATTGGAAGGGACCTCTAGGGTCATCTAGTTCAACCCCCTGCACAATGCAGGAAATTCACAAATACCTCCCCACACCCCAGTGACCCCTGTTCCATGCCCAGAAGATGACAAAAAAAAAAAAAACCCCTCCAGGATCTCCAGCCAAACTGGCCTGGAGAAAATTGCTTCCTGACCCCAAAACGGCGATCAAAATGGCTGGCAGATGTGGCCGGGTCTGTCAGAAAGTGTCTGGGGCTACCTGCCTGCTTGAACTGTCGTATACGCCCTTGGCTCTCGCTAAAGAAAAACCCTCGAGGCTTTCACAATCACAATTAAACTTTATTCAAAAGTTCTTTTGTATAGAAATCCTAGGAACAAAAACCACAATAAAAACAGAATCCCCCACCCCTGCAAAAAATATATATATAAAACACACACAACAATAGAGGATTGCCAAAAAAACATTCTACACCATGTTTTAAAAACTCTTTAATTCAGTCGTTGGTCCCAGCAGTGCATCTGTTATTTAGAAAGATTGCATTTCCCCCCCCCTCGGTTTGATTGATCGCATATGAGTAAAAGAGAGTTACTAAAATGCATAATCCAGTAAGAGTGAAGGCAACATGAAAAGTTGGACTGCTTGTATTTGAGAACTGACTACTCCCTGTTACGTAAGGCTTTCCTTCTAAAGTTATGCTTGGTTGTGGAAATCATAAAAGCAAGTACATGACAGTTGCAGTGATCATCTCCCTCCCCCCCCTTCTTATTTTCTAATTTTTACATTGCCCAAGTTCTAGGCATAATGCCGGAATCCAAAAGGAAACGGTAGTTTGTTCAAACAAAATAGATCTGTCGTGGGTAAATGTTACGTAACGTTGGAAAGTATTCGATTATATCCCCCGGCACGTTTCAGCATTCAGTCCACAAACGATTTAGCACCATATTGATAAAAGTCGTGCAGCAAAACTCTTTCTTCAAGGGTTTGCCTGGAACATAAAGCATGAAATACGCACAGTGCAAGATAGTGTATACCCTTAGCTTCTACGACGGCTATGGTTGGCAATGGCTGACTCCTGGTTCTTTTAGAGGTATCTGTTGATGTTCTGGTCTCCGTTTAAGTTCCTATTGTCATGACACCAGAATTGACACGAGCTGGGAAAGCAAAGAAATTTCATTAGGATTTTGTGCATCACCTGCCATTAAGTCACCTCCCACTCGTGGCGACCCTATGAATTCACCATGAGGGAAGGCGGCACGGTATAGCCCAGTCTTATCAGATTTGCACAGCCAAGCAGGGAGGCCACCTTCTCCCATTTCCTTTCTGTTACTTAGACAATTGCCTTTGTGGAAACCGTTCCTAATTATTACAGTAATGCTTCGCTCCAAATGAATGTAAAAGCGCATGGGATGCTACTGTACATAGACTCATTGAGTCGGAAGGGACCTCTGGGGTCATCTAGTCTGACCCCCTTCACAATGCAGGAAATTCACAAACACCTTCCCTCTACACCCCCCACCCTGTGACCCCTGTTCCACGCTCAGAAGATGACATGTTCAGGTAATGCGCGATCATCATAACTGCCTCGGTATGATGTCTTTTTCTGGAGTGGGGGTTCCGTAGCTTTCATCAGATTCTCAAAGGGGTCTGTGACCTCACGAAAGCTTAAGAACCACCGCAGTAGAGGAAGGCCATGGAAAACAACCTCTGCTCCTGACTTGTCTTGAAAGCCCTTTGCTGAGGCTGCCATAAGTCAGCTGCGACTTGAGGGCGCTTTTACATACACATCTGAATTAGTGACCTCCAAAACGTGCCATCATTGACAGCCTTAATCACGCCTTGCAAAGTGAAGGCGGTGGCTTCCTTTTAATTAGCTGATCCGTCTCACGACAGGCCTTCTTTTTCCTATTGCCTTCAGCTTCTCATAGCGTTGTCTTTTCCACTGAGTCTCCCACACTGCACCCTGCAGATAGCTATACAAGCTCAGTTCTCATTGGGCGCTTGCAACCGGGTGTAGGATTTCTGCACCAGCAAACAGCTGTTCCATTCTCTTCCCTTTAAATAGGCTGAGTGATAGTCTGTTGGCAATCGTTTTCCTTCCTGACTTTTCCCAGGACAGTTGTGCTAACTTATGACCAATGTTCCCTCTAAGCTCCACAGTGTTTGTGAGCAGAAATTCTACCTCATGAGCGAAAAAAGCTAGTAGCATTAAAGTTGTGAGAAAGTCTATATTTGACTATTGCGTAAACTATTTTTAGAAGATTATTTCCATAACCTTGTAAAAATCTCAGAATGAATTCTTTTAAACTATATTTAAACTGTGTTTTAAGAGTAATTTAAACATTATAAGAGAAAACAGAATCAAGTCAAATTTCATTACACCAAAATGTCTTCTATGGTGGTAGACCTAGCGTCTGGAGAACAGGTCTACCTGCCCCAGGCCACTATATTGGTAGACCTGGCCTCTGGAGAACAGATCTACCCACCCCAGTCCACTACATTGGTAGACATGGCCTTGGACCATCGCTGTGCACTGACCCTTAGAAAACATAACAGCACTGGGAGGGGTACTTTTGCAGTCTACTTTTTTGTGTGTGAAATATGACAGACAACATTACAGGTCAAGTATAACACAGGTAGAACAATCACTGTTAAAGCGCTCCCTAACCTAGCACACAGTTGCTTAAATGTTATCAACCTGCCCCAACTATTTATTTATTCAAATACTTATATCCCACTTTTCCCTGTGACTCAAGGCAGCTTACAAATCATACTGAAAAGCATAATAGGGATGTGCAATAAAAAAATCCTTTTTTCCTGGCTCCATTATAGCCTATGGGGACCATTATAGTCAATGGGCCCCATAGGCTATAATGGAGAATCGATCCAGGAGTATCTGGGGCTCGGGGGGATGTTTTATGAGGTGGATGCACCAAATTTGCAGCATAGCTGCTTGAGCCTCTCCTCAAACACCCTTCCAAGTTTCAAAATGTTTGGACCAGGGGGTCCAATTCTATGGCCCTCAGAAGGAGGTGCCCCATACTCCATTGTTTCCTATGGAAGCTTGGTTATGAGCTGAAACAGAAATCCTCTGAGCTGGCCTCTGAAATGTTGTGTGATCCTGCCTCCCACTCTCTCAGCAAATATCATCAGAGTGACCAAGGTTGTTTCTGCCTCCGCCCCAACCCCCAATTTGGACTGAAATGGGTTTCGATAAACAGTCTCCTTTCAGGTGGAGAAAGGCAGGATAGCCGAGTTTTAAATAAACATTTCACATCCCTACTCATTGCTCACTCTTTGAAATGAAGTCATGCAGCAAAGATGCCACCACTTACCTGAAAAGCAGGTGATTTCACATTCATTCTGTGTATTAAATCTGTTGTCATTTCCACCACAGCCACCGTACCAGAATCTAGCACAACTTTTCGTCACTGTGTCATAATACCATTTTAGGATAAAATTCCTGCAGGTCCCTTCTTCTTTTTTCAAGTTGCAAATACTTTCAACTGTAAATTAAGTGACAAATAAAACATCACCTTGACTGAATAACGCAAAGACTCGTACGTTTCTTGCAGATCTCCTTCCCCCTGTATGTTTAGAGATGCTCAACGGAGTAAGAAGGGACAGTTTTCCCTTTGAAGGGGAACATGCTCACTAGAATGGTGGCAGATCAGTAAAATTTTGCATTGAGTTTCACGATGTGCAGCATGCAGGATTAAAGGACAACCGATCTGTACATTCAACACAGAAATTGCCCTACTTAATCATCAATGGACCCAAGGTTACTGCAGGAGCTACTAACACAGAGCCTTTGTGAAGCCTGATCAAATGTAGAAAGGGTGGGGCCTTCCTTAAGGTTTGTGTACCACCAAATTAACTTTAAAGCCAAATACAAATAAGCAGTGCCTGTTGTACAGCGAGAGAAGGAAGGAAGGAAGGAAGGAAGGAAGGAAGGAAGGAAGGAAGGAAGGAAGGAAG